ACACAAAATAAAACAATTTAAAAATTAAAAGGGTACAAAATAATGAAGGTGAGAGTCAAAATTTGGTATTTAATCAAAAATAAACAAACAAACAACAACACAAAGAACAAGGGAACTACCTGTGGCTAGAACTGGAAGACATGATCCACAATAGACAAATAGGCAAAATGAGCAATTTTTGATGGACAAAGACTGGAGGGCGGTTATATATATATATGGAATGCTGTGAGGAAATTGGAGGGTATACATATATGGATTGGTGCGAGGAAATTTCGGGGGTCTACATATATGGAATGCTGGAAAGCAATGTTTTCAAACCCGTTTTGAACTCCGGTTTCCGGTTTGAACGGTTCAACCGGTTCAACCGGTTTAACCGGTTAATATAATACTATAAATATATGATTTTGCAAAAGATATCACATAGTGTTGGTGGGTTGCACCGGTAGATGGCTGATCTTCTATAAGAGAGATTAAGAGTTCAAGTACCCCTGATAACATTTTAATATAATTGTGCTTTGAAAGTAGATAAATACCTACCAAGTTAAGATTTTCATCCACACAATTATAAGTAAATGAATACTGCACAAAAACATGATAAACATCTTCTACTCATTTCTCACAAGAAACGAAAAAAACTCAAATTGACAACTTGTTCATAAACAATCTCCAAACAAAAAAAACTCACATTTCCAACAAAAAAACTTATTTCAAATTGTTTTGCATAAAATAGGAAACTAAGATAAATACATTCAAAATAAAAAAATGAAAAAAAAATAGTCGGAACCCAGAAACTGGGTTCCCCGCTCGAAACCCAGATTTGGGTTCCACGCAGGAACCCGAGTTCCTCGCGAGGAACCCAAACTGGGCTCCGCATAGGAATCCGAACTGGGTTCCACGCGAGGAACCCAGAATATGGGTTCCTCGCGAGGAACCCATTGAGATGGAGGATGGTGAAGATGATGCCGAGGATAAGGGGGGAAAGAAAAAAAATGAAAAAATGCCATTTATGTTACCGTTTAGTAATATTATAATTTTTTGTTGCTCTCACTGTACACCTGACGTTCACGTGTGCAGAAAATAAATTACATCATAAAAAAAATGATTCACATTGGATTACTAACGTTACATAGTGCCACGTAATATATTTTTTAACGGTGCCGTGACGGTGAGTTAAAATATTGGGTTTTTTACAGGTTTTGAAAAGTTGAGGGTGTGAATAGAGAGGAAAATTTTTGAAAGGTATTGACCACGAAAAAAAATTAAATGGACAGTGCAAATAGGGGCATTGGCAAAAAAAAAAAAAGTGAGGGATATTTGTGAAAATTTGAAAAAGAGCACAAAATCCTTATGGATCTCCCTGTTCACACTTATTCTTTCCTAATTTAAGCACTAGCAAAAAAAAAACAAAAAAAAAACCAACAGTTCTCTCAACCATTTTACCAATAATTTGAGGCTAACAATAACAACTAGCATTATGGCGCACGACATTATCATTGTACAATATATGGATAACATGACTGAATGTCAAATCGGAGGGAGTACAGGAAATTGCATAAGAGGAGTGAATGCTGATATTAATAAGCCTAGTATAGTTGTTTTTTTTTTTTCAAGTCACCCAACCTGCAAAGCAAAGCCACAAGGGAAAGTTTATTGGAAAAAATAATAATAAACAAACAAGAATATGACGAGGAGATAAAGATAAAAAAGAACAAAGGAACAACCTCAGCATTTGGCCACCGGACGAAAACTTTGTGGAAGTAGGGGACTAGAAAAAATAAATAATTCTCCTTTGACATAGGCCAAATTACTTATTTTTATGTACTTTTTTAGTTCTTCTAATTGCTTTCAAAAATTCAAACATATACTTACTAATTGAATCACCCTCTACTTCTTAAATTTGAAATTGGGATATAGCTAGCAGTCAAGAAGTCACCTCTTGGTTGAACTCCGGACTGAATTTGCCAAGAATTTGCAATGTTATTTCATTTAAATTTATGTAGTAAATAACGGACAAAAAAGATTTAAATGGATAGACGCTAGTGTAGAAAATCCTTCATACAGGCAGATAAAAAGAAATATACTAACAAAAAATCCATCAATTTAACAGAAACGTAAGCTAGATGTACATTTTTTGTGGAAATACATGGAGCACATAAGACTCAAGTAGCAATATAAATCCAGAGAAAGATCCAAGTCCAAGATGTAAATCATTTTGTTAAGAATTTTAATGTGAAGTGTAATGATTTGTTTGGTCAATGCCCTATGCACTATCAGGGGAACCTTCTATGCAGGTGTGCATTTTCTTGTACTCCCCATTATCATATTCAGAGCCATTGTGTTAAGATCTTTAAGCTCTAAAACATTAATGTGCAAATCCTATCTGTTGCTGTGACACCTAGAGCAATCAAATTAATAATCAGTTAGACAATTATTATTACACACCTTCTTAAATCGATTTTTCTTTTCTTGATAGACAAATGTAAACGAAGTGGTGTAGATATTAGTATATCACAAGGCACCTTGAGAAATCAGCATTTCTTGCAAGCTCTTTAGTCATCAACTTGATACAAATTTTGTGTCCTTTTGCAAGCTTCTTGGACTCTCCGGTTGCCTGAGCGGCTAGCTCAGGTGTATGACACAAAATAATTGCTCTAATGCCAACAGTTGATGCATGCTGACTATGAAGAAAGTGAATAAAAGAAATCCAAGGAACTGAGGAACAATATCAGGCAAAAATGCTTAAAAGTTGAAAAAGATACCTTAAGTTTCATAAGCATGGGAAACACAAAAGACAATGTTTTCCCAAATCCTGTAGGAGCACAAGCTAAGCACTCTCGACCCTAACATGATAATAGCATAGCAATTATATTAAACCAAAGCAGCCAAATTCTTTTGTTTCTATTGGACGTTGTTAAAAGAGAAATCAGAAAAGAAAGTGACCACTGCAGATGAAAGCTACAAGAAGTCCATACATATAGGAGAATAGGAATAGCCTGCCTTTGAATCGGTGTTGGCTCTTTAAATCCAAGTTCAGCCAATGTATTTAACAAATTAATAGGATTCACATCCATATCTATCGAGAAACAATACAAAGTCTCGTTCTAACT